AAAAAAATGTTCTTAATCATCGACTGTTTGAAGGGTTTAAAAGAACGTCTTGGCCGCTCACATGATATTTTTGCTGTCGCCTAAAGCATCTGAAACATAAACTACCCACAGAAGAGAACAGGACAGAGCTGGACACGTCAGAGCTGCTGTCAATCATCTGCTCTGACACTCATCATCATCACCACCTTATCTTCACTGTTCCGCCGGACTTCAGCCTGAACAAAAGACATGCATATGAAGGCCAAGGGCACAACGCCATAATAGTACAACATTAATCTCATTCGATAGGCGTAATTACATTTCAGAAGCCACGTTTGGCCGAATAATGGAGAGGAAACCAGGCTTATGGCGAACAATAGATTTCAAACACTCATGTAGCTGCTCAGCATTTAGCGCTGCTTGTCTTTCAATTCACAGATGACTTTCTTCACGATAAATGTGAATGTTTTTTTTCTTATCTGCATCGTCTTTGCTCCCTTACAAGGCTCTGCCTCTTTTAAATTTATGATTATTAATCATGTTGGCATCATCTCTGATAAAACCGGATTATGTGCCGATCCCTTTAAATGAATTAGATGCGTTGACTTTCGATTTGGATAATAATAATAATCATAATAAACACACAAATAATTAGAATAAAACTGGCATGCATGCATGCCAATTTTCTGTTTTAAATACAAACTTATGCATTGATATTAAGAGCTAGGGGGGGAAAGGGCTGGCGACATTTGCAATGCAAGTTTCTGCATTTAAATGATTTTTCCCACTTGTTAAAAGCTGTCATTTTAGGTATCATTTTAATAATAGGGAACAACAGAGAAGGTGCGCGCAGAATCCACTTAAACAAACAATTTACACAAGGACTCTCTCATATATCTGTAATTGCACAGTGAAATATTCCTCAAGCTCATTTTCGGGTCACGATGCGCTGCCTTCAGAAAATCCTTTGAAGTCGGAGAGAAAGAAGCGAAGCAGTCAAGAAGAAAAAGTTCTCTGAGTGCGATAAACACCTCACGCTTTATCTAGCTTATTAATACGTGTGTGTTTTATTGAAATATTCAGATAAATTAAAGAAGACGTGCGTTCCGTTTGGTCAAGACAGCTGATATTTTTTCTGATTTAATTTCGTGATGTATTGCACTAAATGTACGTTCATTAACTTTTACCTATCATTTATTACATGCCTATTTCATTCTGCGCAAATGGAACGCACCCTGATCAGGCATAGGAACCCAACATATAAATAAAAAGTGATTTATTAGGTTATATTTGCTAAAGGTGACTCAATATTGAAAGTTCTCGAACGTTTCCGGAACTAAACACAACAGACAGTTAAAATGCAAATGAGTAAAAAACGTAGTTTCACTTGGCGTTAAATAGGCGAATATCGCGTTCACCTGAGGAGGAGGTAACCATAGCAACAGTCGACCACTTTTCTTTAGGATCATTATTGAACGGAACGTTGACAAAATATAAATAATTCTGATATTATATTATTTATAAACAAAGATTTGCATGCTGTTTTGTTTAAAAATGTTCTAGAATTTACAATTCGGCTTGTGAGAGACGAACCTCAACAGATTGCACCACTAAAATTCCCAGCGAAATGTATTTTAAATGCGAAAATCGTTGTATAATTAGCGCACGCTTACGTTGAGTAGGCTATTATTAAAGTACACTCATATGCTGTAAGCGGGAACGCACACACACACACACACACACACACACACGATGCAGGGCTGCTTTTCACTCTGAGCAAAGTGAGTTTATCATTTCACTCTCGTTCCTCGCGCTGGGTGGGATTTTGGAGCGCCCCAGGTCTGACAGCTGTAGTGCGCATGCGCCAAAGGCCCTTTCAGTACCTGCCAGTGCGCTCCTTATTTCACATGTTGCAACCCTCGGTTGACAATCACTCGATTGAAGTTATCAGCTGCGGTTGCTTCACCATGGTGAAGAGGAAAACAACAAGAGAGCAGAGCTAAGGAGGAAGACGACTTCTTGTTTATCCCTTCGACTTCATCTGCTAGCCTACTTTTTGAGGATATACCAACGATGCATCCGAGAACATTGCTTTCGTGAAAGTTTAAGAAGAATTACGCGTGGACTTGTTTTTTTCGCGGCGGAATGAAGCAGTGCGTTTAAAGCAAGCCCGGAGACTTTTACATCGCGTACTTTCAAATCACGCTAATCTCTGACGAAGTGAGAGTTCTGTCTGTGGAGTTTTACCTGAGCAGGTGAGGCGAACGCTTGCCATCATGTCCAAGTCCATGGATCACGTTAAGCGTCCAATGAACGCGTTCATGGTGTGGTCCCGAGCGCAGCGGCGGAAAATGGCCCAAGAAAACCCGAAAATGCACAATTCCGAAATCAGCAAGCGATTAGGAGCGGAGTGGAAACTTCTGACGGAGTCCGATAAGAGGCCGTTCATCGACGAAGCGAAGCGACTGCGGGCGATGCACATGAAGGAACACCCTGACTACAAATACAGACCCAGGCGAAAGCCCAAGACTTTAATGAAGAAAGACAAATTCGCGTTCCCGATGGCGTATAATTTGGGAGAGCACGAGGCGCTTAAAATGGGCGGCTTACCGAGCGGAGCGCTTACCGAGTCGTTAATGAGCAACCCCGATAAAGTGGCGGCGGCGGCGGCGGCAGCCGCGGCAAGGGTGTTCTTCAACCCTGCCATGTCTACAAACCCCTATTCGTTTTTTGACCTCGGCTCAAAAATGACAGAACTTTCTCCACCGTCTTTCTCATACGCCTCACCGTTGGGTTACCCAACAGCGGCGACGGCTTTCTCCGGAGCGGGCGCACATACCCACACGCATTCCCATCCATCGCCGGGTAACCCGGGCTACATGATCCCGTGTAACTGCGCGGCTTGGACGTCTGCAGGGCTCCAGCCACCTCTTGCCTACATTTTACTACCTGGAATGGGCAAACCACAACTTGAACCGTATCCCGCGTACGCGGCGGCGTTATGAGACTCTGAAAAGTTTCTAAACGTGAAATCAACGCAATACACGTGGAGCATGAACATGTGATGCCACGATCGTCATATCAGATATCAAATGTGTTTGCATCATGATTAATGCCTCTGGCGTTCTGTTCGGCGTGGATATTAATGACAACGTGTGCTGAGCGAATCCAGTACGCCCTTATCAATGTGAATAATTCTATGAAAAGCTACCAAGTCAGACTAACCTGTTGACTCTGTAACTAGTTTACCATGTGCCGCTATTGCAGAGAAAATTGGGTGATGCTGTTCAAGTGGTTGCATTTGAACTATATTGGAAAACAAAACAAAACATTGTTTTATTATGAAAATCAACCTTGATGAACTCCCGCGCAGTTTTTTTCTCTACTTCTTCAAATCAGTCATGTTGCTGTAAATGTGTACAGTTTTATTAAATCATATCTGGTTAGTGCTCCAAATGCCGGAACTGTTGGACTAGAAATCAGGTGTAGCCTATATTTTGAGTTTCGAATACTATTCCATGGATGTATGTAATATTTATTGTTCAGTCAGTGAAACTACCCTATTTGTTGATCGTGGGACACGACGTGTCCTTTGATATTTGCACAAAGGGAGACCATGAGCACTTATAAGTGTAATGTATTCAAAAGAAACAACATGCCCGAGTTTCTGACATTTCTAGAGTGCTGGTCCGTCGACATATTCTACATCAGACGACTGTCAGATGCGTTCACGTATAAGAAAGTCAGTCCGTTTTTTACTAACTCGAAGTGAAATTGTATGTTCTATGTTTTGCATAATTCCACTTATATGTACTTAAAATGCCTATCGTTCATTTATTGAACAAGGGGGATATAATAAAGCGTATGCGGAAAAAAGGAAATTGCTCTGTAGTTCTTACAAGATTTGTATCTTGAATGCCTTTACTTGGTCGGAGCAGGTGAAGTGTAAAGTATCCTCTAAAGGACGCTTTTGTTCGGGCTTTGAATAGAATTACTTAGAAATCTCAAGCAGGTCTTTGTAATCAAGAGCCAAAATCCTGATTTATCACAACTCAGATCATGAATAGGAAGGAAGATAAAGCTGAGGAGTTTACTTTTAAGCAGAAAAACGAAACCGTTTAGGCCTTTCGGACAGACTTTTCTTTACACTTTTTTAGTCAAATAGAGCTATTTTATTAAAAACGGGAACACTCTCGTCGATTTAATGTTTTATGTACTCACCAGTTGTCATTAATTATGCATAATACACATAGCTACACATCATTCAAACGGGGCAGCATTATTCAAAACATTTACGCCTTTCTTCCCAATGTGCTCCGTGCAGGGTCGTTCTGAATGTAAACTGCCCTCTTAGATTACATTAAGAAGTTAATTCGTATGGCTCAGACCAATTATGCAAAACTAATTTGGACTGTCCAGGGATAATTACCTCCGCCACGGTTAATTGAATCTTTTCACTGGCCTGTATTCTCTATTGTCACACGGCGATCGCTGCTCTCCACGGAGCTTCCTGCTTCGCTTTGGAAAAGTGACCTTTTTCACTTGTTACGAACCAGACGAATCAACAAATCACCGGGGCTATATATGCACATTATTTACAGGACAGACACCTTTTCAAGAGTGATGCTTTTTTAATTTCAGAGCAGCTTCTTGATGACCTTTTGCACATTTTTTGTTTTCAACTCATGCTTTTCCAAAACTCCTGAAAAACGTGTGTGAAAGATTTGCATTTCAATGCAACCTAAGTAGACATTTCATATTTTTAAAAACATGTTTGAATTGAATAATTTATTTACTTCTAATAGTATATTAACACTGTATGTTTAACTTTACACTGGGAAAAGGTGAAAATGTGCTTCCCACATTTTTTTTTTTTTTTTGGTTTTCCCAAACCAATTAAGAATTTGAAATATTTGCATTTCAGTGCAATATAGTCATTGCAAAGTAGATATTTACGTTTTTTTTTTAGTGTTATGCACATTATTTTCAGGACAGACACGGTTTCAAGAATGATCCTTTTTTAATTTCAAAGCAGCTTTCTGATGACCTTTTTAAACGTTCGCAAAACTACTGTAGAATTTGTCTTAAAGATTTGCATTTCAATGCAACCTAAGTAGATATTTCATATTTGAAACATGTTGCTATTTATTCTTTTATTTTTTTTACCTTTTGCACATTTTTTTTTGCAACTCACGCTTTTCCAAAACTCCTGAAAAACTTGTCTGAAAGATTTGCATTTCAATGCAACCTAAGTAGATATTTCATATTTTTAAAAACATGTTTGAATTTAATAATTTATTTACTTCTAATAGTATATTAACACTGTATGTTTAACTTTACACTGGGAAAAGGTGAAAATGTGCTGATTTATTTTTACCTGCCCTGACCTTTAAAATGACTTTTGCAGGTGCAACCGGGTTGACTCGGCTAATATCTCAAAAATCATTTAGCTGTCACCACATATGCATATTTTAAATGACCTGAAAACCAATTTTTTCTCTCTGAATTGGTCTCTCTCTGTATTACGAAAGCTCTGCGTTTCAGCCCACAGTTTGCACCGAAATGCTTGAAAAGGTCGTCCGCTCCACAAAAGAGCGCACATCACCAGCCCAGTGACCATTTTCCTTTTTTTCTCAGCTCTCTTTTCTCCCTCCGCTTTAAGAAAGGGGGCACTAACTGAAAGAACTTTGTCTCCCTTCAGTAGGAGCATTTAGACAGTCGAGGAGGTTTTGTCTCAGAACAAAACATGAGTTGGGAGGCCTTTGTGAGCCTGTTGTTTGTTGAAGTGGAGCTCAGCAAAAAGCGCCTGCTTTCCTTCATTGTGGTTAAAGCAATCAGTGGTATTTGAAAAACTGTTAGCATTGTGCACTTCTTCTGTGTTCATTGTTGAAGATTTCTTTTCACAAGGTTTTTTTTTTTATTCCCCCCTTTTTTTTTCAGGCAATCCAGCTGGCCGGGGTGAATAGCGCTGCAATGTGTACACGCTTTGTCCCTCCGAGTCCTTCAAGTAGCCTACATTGAATAGAGTGAGTTGACACTGGATGACAGTGAAACAACATAATAAAAAATACATGAGCGCATGAATGGAGCCAGGCGCATAAATAAATAAAATGGGTGACCAAAACTGGATAAACTGAATGTCAAAATGGTGAAAGGGGAACAAAAAGATATTTAACACAGCAGATTAGCATTAGAAAAGCCATCTACAAAGCAGAACAATTGATGAATGCGTTTACAGGCCAAGAAAGGAATGAACTAAATGGCTTTTGAATAGATATGCTTTTTCTTTTCTGGAAAGGAGATCCAATGGGAAAGGTAGAGATGCGACTATTCAAACAACCGCATGAGAAAATCTTTTGACGAATGGAAGAATGACGAAATTTGTTAATTTACAGAACTAAAAGGTGCCTCTTTTTTGGCACAAAGTTCACGGTGAGTCACAAATCGCTGACACGAGGAAAGCATTGATACGTTGAGGTATTTTGCCAAGATTTTTGACATTATCATCCTCGACTATCATCAGGTGTCAACTATCATATTGTGCCAAGTTGTGTTTTCTTTCATTAAGGCGAGACACCACAGGCGAATGAATATTAGATGGAATATTTAACTAAAAGATATCACCATACTTTCCCAGTTGATCGATAACATTAAGAATTGCAAGTATGTTTTTTGTATTACATGCTTTCTGAAATGTTATATTTAAATATGCAAATGAGGCATTATCTAATTATAAATTGCATATATTTCCTGAAGATAAATCTGAACATCGGATAATGTCAGGTTTAAAATACCGTCAAAAGACAGAAAAAAATAATAATAAATAAAATGTTGTATAACATATCAGGCGAATAATGTATATGAACAAAACCCCTTAGTAAAAACCTTCAGAATATAGATAGGAATAAAGCTGCATATTTTGGTGCATGTGAGTGCTGCTGAAGTGGAGAAAAAACTCATTTTGAGAAATGACCTTTAAAAAATATGTATTATAATTGAAAAAGTGGAGAGAAAAAACTTACGGCCTTTAAAGATACTTGTTGAAACCTACAGATGCAAATCGATAAAGTGCACTTAAATGTGTATTTTGAATGTTTTCTTTCCACTAATCATAAAATACATGTTATGCAAAGCCAAACAGCCCAAAATCTCAGTCCAGTGCATGAAAATACAATGTTTTTGCCTGTAGTGTCTTGCCTTAAATTGTGTCGGGTTGGTAAAACAGCACACAACTTGTCAAAGTTGACACTAGATCACACAGTTTATGTAAAAAGGCTCCAAATTTCCTAAACACAATATCCATTAAATGAAGTTCAGAAGCCAACATACTATTACAGGCGGGATTTTTCTCCAGCATGGGTGTATTTCACACTACAGTGATAGTATCAGATGACAGACGAGGAAAAAGCCACATTTATCCAACCTAACAATCCTTTGAGGAATTGAACCTATGGACGATTGGTCAGCACACTCTGATTCACTGTGTCTTTTAAAGCGCTCATTGATTTTTGGCGATTTGATGCTTTTCAGCCTCACTAAACACTCCAGATATGATAATAGAAGTTTCCGCCTATGACCCAAATATCCTCTGTGTTGCTTCAACATACAAAAGATTTTTTTTCCTCCCTCAAGTGTGTAAAAGTGCTTCCTCTCTACTGGAAATATCTGAGCAATGACACTGAAAAACATATTTCTGTGAGATATTATTTCTATAACCACGCTGATACTTTAGAGAGAGAAAAAAACAAAACAATTTGAAATATTTTGAGACGAGAATTCCCAAAGGTCATAATGGTACAGTAAATAAAATGCATTTGCACTTCTAATACGTTTTTACAGGACAGTCCTTCAGAATGATGCATGGCCAGATAACATCACAAATAGTGTTATCAACTGTTTTTCTTTTTTTTTTTTGGCCACTTGTTGAAAGTAAGTTATCAATTTCTGCTGCCAAACACTGGCACAATGCTTCCTCACTTACTGCAATATGAAAACTATATTACACTATAAAGAGAAAAAAATATATATATTACATATAATGCAACAAATTTAACAGATCTGATTATTTTAAATTTTTATAATTTTGGATTGAAATAATATAATATGCATAATAATGATAATATGCATTATAAGGAACAAGATGCATTTAAAACAATGACTGTAT